ATTGCCTCTTTTCACACGTGCACAAACTTAGTCTCCAATTATTCCTCCAGTAGATTTTCCTTTATTTGATATATGTCATGTCTTTTATCTCCCCTTTACATCCCATCAGTGCTCAGCTGGGTTGAGATGTGGTGACGGTGAAGTTCAAATCATTTTCTAACTCATGAATCTGTTCGCTGACCCCTGACGTCCAGTGTGGAATCATCTGCACTTGATATGTTTCATGAATACTGTATTTTGTGTTCTTCATTTACTTTGTCGATGCACCGTCACCACAGAGTGATGAAATGTAGAAAAAGCGCAGCTTGTGAAAACACTTGTGTAACGTCTTCTCGTGTAGATTTCCCCAATTGAGAAACAACTCATTGTTTCATCAAGGTTTTCTCAGGTTGCATTTTAAAAACAAGAAGCTTGACATTACACGTCTTGCTTGTCATGGTTATGAGTTGCATTCTGGGAAATGCAGTTTTAAGTTTGACCAGTCTATGTGTTTGACCTGAGGGACATCCGGGTTGCAAATCCCTAAAGTGCTGTTGACATAACTGGAGATTAAATATTAGGAGTAAAAACTAGGATTAGAATCAGAGTAGTTCAGGATTAAGCCTTGGATATGGTGACACTGGGGGGCTTAGGTTCAGGATTTCAATTAATATCTAAAAGTTTAAATGCCAGGTGTCTACAGGAAAGGGTTTTTGCATGATGGCAGAAATATATATATTAAGCTATAACTCAAAGGTTTTAAATGGATATAAAGTTAAAGTCAGATTGGAATTTGAATGTGTTCTGTCTACAAGCTTCACTTTGAGCAACAGGTTTCACTCTGGATTAGGTTGGATGTTGTACAGATGTTGTAAACTACACTGCAGGGTTACAGACAGACAGACCGCCGCTCGTGCGTAAAAGTGTGCCAGTCTCCCCCCCCCCCTTCCCCCTCCCCTGGTGCTGCGGTGCGCCGGGGGCCTGGTCTGGTGCTCAGCCTCCTCGCAGCGGGTAGGTACCACCCAGAGAGACGGAGCTGTTGCCAAAGAGTGGAGCTGCACAACATACAGGAACTGCAACGTCACAGTGAGAGAGAGGGAGAGAGAGAGGGAGGGAGAGAGAGAGAGAGAGAGAGAGGGGAGAGGAGAGGAGAGGGAGAGAGAGAGTCAGAGCAAAGTGCGCTATCAGCTGCTGAAGGCTGGACACACGAGAGGCGTGGGGGATACTGATAGGGGGTGGGGGGGACACAGAGAGGTAGAGGGTGGGGGAGAGGAGACTCCCTCGTCGTCGTTGGGTGACGGTGGCACAGATGGGTGCGACTCTCCACAGCTGAGCCACGGATCCAGCCTGTGCGCCCGGCGGCGCTGCACGATCCGCGCTCTCCTCAGCTGGAAACGACACAATCCTGCGAATGACACTTCACCACCAGTGAGTTCCAGCTTCCGTCATTTATCTTCCTCTCGTCGGTTCAGTGTCGCTTATTTCGTTCATTTCCGAGGCCTCGGCGTCGTCACATGTCAGCATCCGTCACAGCATCTGTGTTATAGAGGGAGTGTGGGAGAGTGCGCACAAACTTTTACAGCCCTCCAGGCTTTAATCTCATCCACTGTGACATGCTATCATGACTGTAGCACCTCCCTATGGCTGCATGGATTCTGCAGAAAGAGGAGCATGGGGTGTGACTTACTGTAACCTAGTTACAGCTGTGTGTGTGTGTGTGTGTGTGTGTGTGTGTGTGTGTGTGTGTACACACCTCAGTCAAATGTGGGCTGTTTGCTTTGGTCAGTGCCTCTGAATAGAAGCCTTTCAGACCTCTGCATCAGCCGTTGGTCCTGGAATAGACTGCACAGTGTGTATGACTTGTTTTCCTCTGCAGAGCTGCATGTTCCCGTCTCCTCTCTCATCCTCAAGCAGGAGCACAATGAGCTCAAGTGCAAACCTGTGATTAAAAGTGGATGTCGGGCTAACGCTCCAGGAGCTCCGGGAGCTCCGGGAGCTCCAGGAGGCCGAGACCAGAGCACAAGTGGAAAGTTGGGAGTGCCGGCACATTTCCACACACCATCACACCTGAGGCGTTTTATATCTGCAGCTCTGTCTCATCCTGTGAGAGCAGACGGGGGTCCAGGTCACTCTCCCTCAGATTGAAGTGTTAGCAGGCTGCTTGATTGATTCTGTGCCAGTTTAAACACCGGAAAAAAACGTTCTGCACATTTTTTCTCTCAGAGCCAAACGGGTTTCATTGTAGAGCTGCAGGGGAGTGTGAGAGTTAACATTCAGACTGTATCAACCGCTCCATCACTCTCCCTCCTACACCTCTCTTCCTCTTCACTGTTTACAAGATGTCTATCTTCATGGCAGCGCAAATGCCAAAGGGGGGAAAGGGAAATGGAAGGAGGAGGAGGAGGAGGAGGAGGAGGAGGAGGAGGAGGAGGGGTGCATGCAAATCCTGACCTGCTGTGGGGCACAATGAACATGTTAAACAAACCTCCCCGGTTAACTCATTGTAGTGTCTTCCTTTCATTTAAGAAACACCATAAAAGTTGTGTTGTTACTGTTAAAATAAAAGTTGTGTGACACATTTTGTCCAAGTCTGATTTTGATCAGGCTCAGAAGAATAGCTGACATTTTTAAGACAACAACATTAATGGAGATACATCCTTTAGTCACATCATCGGGAAATATATATTCATTGTTCTAAACTTCTTGAATAAGAATATTTTATGCTTTTCCCATTAATTTTTTTTGTAGGTACTGTGTAGGACAGGTGGGCACTTGAAACTGTTTTTGTATGTTGTAAGTAATCAATCAAGAATAATAATTGTGAGGTTAATTCATGTTGAAAAGAATTGATAATTACAGCAGTGTTCTAGTTATTGTAACCCTGTGCCATATATTGTAATCGAATCGTGAATGTTTCAGTCTTCCCTTGTTTTAATCGACACATGTCAATTTAAAAACGTGTCCATTTAGGCAGTGCATGTTTCTTTCCATGGCTCTTTTCCACATTATCAATAATGTCTGGACTCCAGCATTAGCATCCAAAAATAATGATTTTTAAATAATGTGTCACTTCGGCCTCAAGCTTTTAAACGTTGCTCTTGTTTCCACCCAAACACTCAAAGTGGTTTTGCCCGACCAGCTGCTGAAGAGACACTTACTCTTTCCTCTGCTCTTCCTGTCTGTGGCAGCCGGCACCATGCTCCCTCGTAACCTGCGAACAGGTGGTTATGACCTGCCGGGCGTGGATTCGAGCGAAGTGCCTCTCATTGGCTACCGGCCCTTACCGCCTGACCGTGGCACCCCGAGCCACCAATCAGGGAGAGGAGGAGGAGGAGGAGGAGGCAGCGATGAACTGGAAACTTCACAAGTGAGTGTTTTTCCCTCAATTAAACGCCTCCATCTCTATTTTCTTTGGCGTGAGAACAGATGAGGTGGAGGAGAGAGGGATCAGCTTTTTCCTGCATTGGCGGTTAGTAATAGTATTGTTTGGATACTGATCATCTGTGCGGCGATGTGATGGAGCTGCACAGGGAATTGGGAGAACGTTTCATTTGTCGAGGCTCCCCCGGCCTTCGCAGCTCACAGAATTTAGAGCAGACGTCCTCCATGAAAACCTACGAGCTGCGTTCAGCTGCCACTTTGTTTAATAAGCAGAATCTCTGGTCGACTAGTTTTCACAAAACCCAGAGGGAATAGAGATCGTCTCATTCAGAAAGACAGAGAGATGGAAATGGTGTTTCTGTTTCCTGCTACTCCACCACAAACACTGATGTTTTCAATGAACTGAATAAATTCCACCATTCTCATGGGAATGATCTGATTGCGGTAAAAATATGCAAAACCAAAAGAAATTCTCATTGCAGCAAAATAGTAGCCCAACATGTCATCGTGAGCGCCGACACGCTGCAGGTATTCGTCATCGCTGATATTTGAAAAGAGAGAAAAACTAGACAATGGAAGAAGATTATTTGTTCCAGTGTTCCTAGTTTGCCCGTGACTCACTCACAGTGATGACAAAGGCCAGTGTCGAGCGTCATCACAAGCTCGAAAAAGTGATAAACTGGATGATTTGCAAGTTCAAATGATTCGTCTGCAGGCAAGTTTTGTGGTGAGCGAGCTCACAGCCGAGAAGCTGAAACCTCTTTCAAACAGAGAATTTGCGAAGGAGACGAGTTGTCGCTGCAGAGCTGCAAGAACCAGACAAGTTAAAAGGCTCCAATATGTCAGGTTGTCCCAAACCAGCGCAGAGCAGATTACTGATATGAAAAAAAAAAAAAAACACTAAACACACATAACACATACAGTTGTGTTTGGTGCACGGCTCAGTTTAATACGAGGGAGGAATTGTGGTGCATCTGCATATGGTGAGTTTGCAAAACCACCTCAAGCATTTTGAGGTTTCAGATCATGAGAAGTAATAAAAACAACTGTCACACCATTTAGAACCGTTACTGACGACCTAGACTGTCGACTGCAGGTTCGGACAAAAAAGGCTGAAATAATATTTGGACTCTGGTTTCAGTCACGTTGAAAAAAAGGGACTTTTGGGAACCTGGGAAAATCAGCTGCGATCAGCATCATCATCACTACAATCTGACATCAGACACCAGACTCAAGACAAGCAGCCGTCACTGGTCAGTGTGATGATGCAGGTGTTCAGCAATTCAGTCTGACCCTCCCCTGAACTACAGTTTAACTAAATCAGGAAGTTGGAAGGTTCATGGTGCAGGTGAATTTCCCACGATCCTTCACCTCTGTTAATGTTTAGTGACTTGATAGCGAAGTTTGTTGAGCCTTATCAGATCCTTTTTTTTTTTTTTTTTTATACGCTTCACAAAGAGCTGGGGCGTTTATGTGAAGTTTTTCTTGCAGCAGCATTTTCTCCAGCTGAGGACAAGATTCACTTCTTCTTTCTTGAACGTGATATAAAAAACGCCAGGCTCCCCTAATAGCTGCATTTCCACTGAGTCATGACAATCTGCTGACTGACTCTCCTGCCCCAGTCACACATGACCTGCACCTTTTCTTTTTTTTCTTTTTTTTTTTACTTAACACCAGGCCGCAAGAAACTCCTCTCGGTCTAAAAAAAGAAGTTGCACCCGCTCCCTTAGAATGAGCGGACTTCCTCCGTGGTCAGGTCACATGGCGGCTGCAGGACCTCGCAGTTAATAATCCATGTGGTGGTTAAGCTGGTCGATGCAGCGCACACCTGCTCTCCCCTGTAAACAGTATCCAGTATCTCGGCCCGTCTCCGAGGACGCTCTGTCAAGTGGAATCCAATACGACCGCTCGCTCTTTCTTTAATGAGGCGAACGTGGATGCGAGGATGCATGAAGTCACTCGGCTCAAGTGAACAATGAAGGTTTATGATGGAGGAAACAAAGTGTGTTTTCTGGTTCAGGTTTTCAAAAATGCTTGTTGAATAACAACGTAGTTGTTCGCTTGTTCGGTGGAGGGACTTCACTCCAGAGCGGTGACCGGACAGATATAGAGCAATACATTCACCTTAGAGAGAGAAGTTAGAAATGCAATGTTGATGTCAGTTCAATAGATCAGGTGAGGCCCAGTGAGCAGACCAGCTGTTATGAAAAAGGTTCCTTCAGTGTATTCACAACATGCAAGTTGAAAGTAGGTCAGTATGTGGGGGGGGGGGGGTTAGAAAATGATTGAGCTCATTGATTTCTTTCTTTTTCATGTTTCTTTCTTTCCTGAACGTGAAAAGGAAACCCGACAATCACAACTTGGATAATAAGGCCACGTTAGTTCTTGTCGTCCGTCTCTTAGTCAGTGTGAATTAAACTGCCAGGTTGTCTGTTTCACTTCCTGCGACACAAATATTACCTCATGTTCCATTTAACGGCAGCGGTAGAGACATGAATACATGAATACATGAATGTGGCTGTTTCTAATCATTTGGGCGGATTAAGGTAAATCTTCGTGGAAAGGCTTCTTGCAACTTTCCGGCAGCAGTTCAAGCTTTTTTCTTTTTATCATGACAGTGTTGAGTTAGAAGTCCGGTCCATAAAGAAATAGTTTTCCTAGTTTGGTGACTGACCTGACTCAGCTCCTTTGGGATGAAGTGGGACGCCAACCACGAGTGTCAGGTTCTGCTGTGTGACGACACTGGAAGTTAACTGTGTTTATGGCTCATCTGAATACAGAGAGGGGAGGATGCATCGTTGCGACCTGCTGCTGCCCCGTCACTTTGTTTATTATTCGGTTGATATGTCAGGAGAATTATGCAAAAAACTACAGAACGTATTTCCATGAAATAAATGACTTAATGGCGTCGTTCTGAATAACAGAGCGGAGCCAGGAATGATTTTGTCACTTTCTATTTTAACATTAGCTGCATGCAGACTTGCGCTGCAGAAATCTTAAGTGTATATTCTTTCGGAGCGGCTGTTTGCGTGAACGCAAATGTCAGATTGTCAGTTGCAGAAATTTACGGACACAGATCCACCAACGGTGATGGTCGGGGGAGCAGGTTTCTGGAGCTATGCGATGATCTAATGAGCATTTCACACGGAGCCTGCTGATGATTGCCATCACCCAGCATCGGTGGCTGACCTCGCTAACGATGCCGAGGGTGAGCGGGAGCAAATCCCTGCAGCCATGTTCCAGCATCTGGTGGAAAACCCTCTCGGAGGAGTGGAGGCTGTTCTCGCTGCATATTAATGTCCATGTTTTCAACTGACATCCTCAACCGACTCAAATGTATGTGTCTTTTCTTGATTGCCCTCACTCTGGCTGACTGCTTCGCGACTATACCCACTTCACCGCTGTGAATATAGAACCAGGGGAGTTAAGGTTAAGTTGGAGTTTGCACATTGCAAAGTCAACTATTCCCTATAAACATGCAGAACATCGTAGACTGATGATATCTAAGAGTAATCGCATCCAAGGGAGGATTTCTTCTCCTTTAAGGGGAATAGAGCCGCTTTGACCTGAATGCCACAGAGATTTACTTGAAAGCGAGCTGATAACGGGCACCGAGGGATGCATAGATGAAAGCTTGAGAAGAGGAGCAGAGAGAAAGATAGGAAGGAAGGGGTCGTGGTTGTGAACCACTGAAAAAAAAAAAAAAAAACCCACAATGGTTATCTTTAAATAAAGCTTCAGAAGATGTATTTATGACCCGTTGTTTGGTGCACAGACAGGGTTGTAAATAAGGGCGCCGTGGTGTGTATTTGTTCAGTCGAAGCTTTTTGGCACAGCGGAAACATGACCACATGGATTTATTTAAGGAAAAAGAAAAAAAGGGTTGGAACAGGTTGTTTTCTGAGAGCAGGGGGGGGGGGGGTTCAAAATGGAGACCCAGCTTCCTGCCGGCTGTTCTGGTGCCCTTCTATAACTGACGTCGTGGTTCAGGTGGAGAGGTTGACTCAGCCTCCACTTGTGATGGAAGGAGAGGGGAAGAAAAATAACTTCGCAACACGACAGCATGTCCTGCTTCCTGTGTTTGTCTCCGCTTATTATGTACTTCCTGCTTGTGGGGTGGGTGGGGGAACCTTTAAGAAAACGGAGAGAGCTCAGGGCCCCGAGAGAAGAGCTCGCAAAGTACATAAACAAAACCAACAGTGGTTTTGGGAGAAGAAAATCACATGAGCTCCACAAATAAGAGCCACAGAGTCCTGTTTTATGAATAATAACGTGGTTCAAACCGCCGCTTGTGGCCTATAATCATGATCCTTATCCAGCAGCCTCTGAGGCGGCTGAACTCCAAATTACATGTGCTTTGAAAAATGCCTGCACAGAGGAGGCCGGTTGTTTCTGTGACCCAGATCCAGCCTGGTTTTCACAAGGAAAAGTCAATTGACGCTCCACTAAATGGGCTTTTATCTCAAGAGTCCTAATAAACCAGCTCTGCTCTCTGGAATAAGGAAAACAGAGCAAAGGGCTAGTTTCCTCTGTGTGTGACCGGCCCACAGGATCAGTGCAGTACTGAGAGTCTGGATAGGGATCAGTGAGATGATTAAATAACTCTCACTCATTTATTGTAGAGGTGAGCGATCCAACTTTCCAACTTTACTCTCAGATGGCAAATAAGTTGTTCGTGAATTTTGTCCGGCGATCGAGGGAAACTCCTGGAGGTTATGCGACAAATGTGACTCCCACAAGGTCCTGAACACAGGCTGGATATAAAGATGGACCTCGCATCTTTATCACCCCCTGGTGGCTGGCTGCAGTATAGGTTATAAACCCAGCCAACCACAAGTCCGATGGATTTTTAGGTTGTCATGTTTTTAATTTTTAATCCCAGTCATTTTCTTCCAGTAGGTGATGCGTGTGAAACGAGCTCGACAGTTAAATAAAAACATGGTGAGATGTTTGCACAACAATTAAAATAAGGTGCTGATGATAAATATTGTGTTTACAGCCTGTTCAACTGCCCTGGAGTGGCTAAAAATACTTTAAACACTGCTTTACACTTCGTTTTTACAGCCGGGGGTTGTTTGTTAGCAAACTATTCTCCACACACGTCTTCAAATAGTCAACAGGTCTTCGCTCTGATGTCACTGCCTCTTAAACAAACACAGGCTGACTGAACAATCATTACTTCTGGTTATAAAATGACAAGAATCTTGCAGCTTAAACACCGCAGCCAGGCGACTGAATCAAAATATATACAAATATGAAGGAGTCTGTCCAGCTTCTACCTGAGTTCTTCTCAGCTAACTGTCGCTTCGCTTAGTGTCACTTTAAACAGGATACTCAACCAAACTGGTTTATCTGCATGGGAAGGTCATCCACCCGGCCAATGAGAGCAGGAGAGCGGAGAGGGGAGACTGAAAGAGAAGGGGTATTGTTCTGGAAATAGCTGCAGGGCTTTGTCTGTCAGTGTGTGTATATGTGTGTGTGTGTGTGTGTGTGTGTGTGTGTGTATGTGTGTGTGCAGGCAAGAGAATAGCTCATGCATGCGTCTACCGATGACTTCTTTTATTTTTGTATTTCAATGAAGATTTCAAAGTGCAGACTTTAGGGCTGTGTGTGTTACTGTGAAAAAAAAAGACTCCCAAAGGAGTGTTGTCCTATCAACATCCCTATCCCTATCTGTGTGTGTGTGTGTGTGTGTGTGTGTGTGTTTGTGTGTGTGCGTGTGTGTGTGTAATGGGTGTGCCAAGGTGATGCAGGCTCGGGGGGCCGGACTTAGCTCCTGCCTCAGGTGTGTCTTTCTGACTCAGAACCATAAAGTGTGAAGAGGCAGACGTTAGAGACGTAAACGTACAGATCCCGGAAAGTGAGAGAAAGAAGAGAAGTTGAGAAAGAACGAAAACAAAGGAGAGAACGACAAATGAGAGAAAATGGAGAAAGTGAAAATCCTATTTCTACCTTCATCCTGAAGATTTCCAGGAAGCTCAGGGATAGCTACCTGTCTGGACCTGCAGAGGGAAAGGTAACTCATGTGAACCATTTTTGTTTTTGCACGAGTGTGTGAGGTTATTTTATGGGAAAGATAAAATTGCCGGCACAAAGAAACAGCAGAGTTTGCACAGGCAGCTAGTTCAACAGGTTTGATGCACAGCACAGGCTGTATCCTATTCAGAGCAGGATCCTTTGTGAATGCGAGGAGCGACTGCTTGGGGTTGACCTTCGATCAAGCCGAGTCGGGGTAATTTGAAAGAGGCTAATAGAGGCTAACATGTGCTTATTACAGCTAATTACAGCACAGGTTGGACAGGGAGAGAATAGCAGACCTCAGGCCACAGCGGCCGCAGCGGCCACTGCTCACTTTGTTCTCATGGCTCACACTGCGACCTTCTATTTGCATATGAGAGAGCTCACAAGTCAGTGCATGCAAAATGAATGGAAGGCAGATCATTAGTTTGTTGTTGGGTTTCCAGTGTGTGTGTGTCTGTGTGTGTTCCCAAGGTGTTGCTCATGTGTTTTTGCAGCTCGAACCCGTTGACTCACGACGAGTGAGAGAGATTTCACCAGACTCTCGGGATGACTCCACTCCGCCGTGTTTGGCTCCTGCATTATTAATCATGGAAAAAAAAAAAAAAGTCACGGCTAAATGGCGTCAGTGTCGGGCAAAGTGTAAAGTGATGAGGATCGTTGTTTGTAGTTCAATGCAGAAACCGGCGATCTGGATGTAAACAAAAAATGGCCGCCCCCACCCACAATTATTTACGGCACAGGAATGAAAACAAACGTCTTCCTCGGATTCTGTCGACAGCAACTTTACTGTTCGAGCTAACCTCAGACGCCAGAACATGGATCGTGATGTTTTGTTGTTGTTTTCCCTCCTGTCCGCTGTGTTTGTTCCTCGTTAAGAAATATTACACAAAAACAATGGAAGGATTTCCACGAAGCTTGGAAGGATGTGGTTTCGGACAAGTGCAGGATCTTAATCTGTTGACATCAGGAATATTAAGTGGACTGATACTGTTATCTGTGTGTGCGTCACTGATAAAAAACGTATTTTGAGGCTGCGAGCGTGAGTCGCTGTTTCTGGTTGAACACCACTATGTGGGCAGGTGACCGGGGTGTTTAATGTGTTTACATCAATGCTGAACGGACGTGGGGTCAGTAACTACCCAACACTACTGCAGAGTTATCCAACCTGCGGATGAACACTTGCATCTTTTACTCTTTCACATTTCTGACAAAAGCCACAAGTAGATATTAAATAGGAACTCTACAATAAGTGGAATATGTAGAACAAGTAGTAAATGTTTTAGAATATTCTCCATCTTGTCCCATGTTCTGAATTTTAATTGAAATTTAATTGAAATTATTGTTTTACTGAAATTTTAGCAAAATCAAAAATGCAAAGTTCCATCAGTTGTTTTTATTCAGCTTCTTACTGTGAGACTCCGGATTGAAGTGTTGAGGAGGGAGGGACAGGATTAATTTGCTCTCTTATTAAGTGGACTATGTACTTTTGAAGTTTGTAATGTTTGTCCGCGTCTCTTCCTCAGGCAGAGCCCTCACCGATGAAGACGACCTGGTACTGTCCTCTCGATCTGGTGAGTGTGACTCAGCTGCACATTGCACCGGTATAAAACAGGGTTAACTGTGTCGGGGACTTTCCTCTGGGCTAAAACTGGATCGTATGAGTTCCGTGCAGCGTGTGAGGAAAAAGCACGCACGATACCAGGTGTCGCTACTAGAACATGTTGCACTTCGATCATTGTTTTAATTAAAACAAAATTAACAATTTATCTGCTAATTACATTAACATCTGAAGCAATTTAGACTCACGATACTTTAAATAATAATAAAACTTGAATAAACAGCGCTCTATCGCAGTCAGTGGGGGCGGGGCATGTGTTATCCTCTGATAAACTAGAGCAGTGGTCGATGACCGGGTCAAACCTCGATTTGATTATTTTTTATTTCAACAGATGCTGAAATAGCCAACATGCAATGTTTGAAGTTATTAATAAGCCACACACTTTGCAATAAAGCAAATACAGTTTCATTTTATGGAAAAACTTCGTCTGAAATCTTCACTGCAGATAAACCAGGTGGGATGAGCACAGTTTTTTAACTTCACACTGCACCACTGACTGTTAGGGTTTGAGGAGGACTCACTAATGACGAGGAATAATTCTGACAAAGCTCCAGAGAATAAACAGAGGACAAGAAACCAGACCATTACAAACTTGTTGTGCCCAAACTAACAGTGGCCTCTCTCTGCAGTCCACTGTGATAGAGGAAGAGGAGGATGGAGTGATCTACACCGTGGTGGTCAAACAGCAGCACGGAGGCCCCACCGGTCCGATGGTGAGACCTGCAGTCTGTGACGGATCGCTCCGACGGAAAGATCCTCACACGACCACAAACGCCAACTTCCTTCTCTTTTTCCTTCCTCCAGTCACCGGTGTCTCGCTCCCAGTGTGTGAAAGCAGGAACAGAGGAGAAGCTGGTGCTCCACCTCCTCCGCTCCTTCTCCATGGGAGACTCGTCCTTCATCACCATCTTCCTCTCCACCTATCGCTCCTTCACCTCCACGGAGAGAGTGCTGGACGTCCTCACTGACAGGTAACGAAGGGTTTTCTCCTCTTAGCGGCACAGTGTTTGTGGTTTTCGTCTCGTAAGGGGGATTTTGTTTTTCAACATCGGCGTCGGTTGGGGCGTCGTTGGATTTAGACACTTCACATTGCAGGAAGCGTCTGTGTGGTCATTTAAGTTTTTCTCAGCAACACGACCAAGCCAGAAAAAGAAGCTGCCTGTGGAAGCTATAAGTTATTTGTATGAAACACCTGTTTGGAAAGTTTTCTAAAAGACGCAGCACAAAAGAGAATCAGTTTCGAGCACTTAACTTCCTGGCAACACGCTCAGAGAACATTAGGGCGCCACCTTTGCTAAAAAGCATCTTTGGAAAAAACAAGCCATAAATACATTTATGGCAAAGCAGTAGAAAATATTTATGACCCGACGCAGCAGGAGCACATATTTGAAGCTGAATGATACTTTGAAGGTTTTGTGTTTTTGCCGCTCCAACTTTTTCTTTTTTGCTCACAGATTGGAGAATCCACCAGGGGACGGCGAGAGGAGCCACATGAGACAGTCTTTCAACAAGTGAGCTTTTCAAAATGCTATTTAAAATCAAAGCGGAGCTTTTAGAGAGTTTGTGTGTATTAAGTTTGGATCTGTGAGAGACACGACTGCATCCTCTAAAGTCTGTTGTGCTTCCTGCTCCTGGTTTGGCTGAAATGTTATTATTTAAAAAGGCAGCTTTCATTTTTTGTATTATTTCAGATTGTGATGAAAATGTTTTCAGAGCGATAAATAATCTAAACAGATCAATGTCACGTCTATGTCACATTTCAAAATTCAAAGGCCAGGCGGGAGAGATAGACTAAGGTTGCATTTAAAACTTTCAACACTTCCTGCTGCTCTCTACACATCGTCTGACTTTATTTATAGAGTCAAATGTGGAGGTTAGCAAGTGATCAGACTTGTTATAAAGAGAAGAAGAAGAAGGAGTAGATGTACTTAAACCCCAGTGTTGTCAACAAGTTCGACCGATCACATCATTTAGTTCAATTTGCTCGGTCAGACTCTTTCCATTATCAGATATTATCTCATTAATATAATTCCTCGTGTGCAGATGCTGCACTTTATTCCAGGCCGACTTTGTGATGTGAATACGAAGACGGTTTTTTATTGTTTAAGCAGGCGCTCTGTCATCCTTTGCTAGAAGAAAACAATCTTGATCCTTCGCTTCCTCTTGAATTATGGACCCATCTCTAAGCTGCTTTTCTTGTCTAAGCCCCTTGACAATGTGATTTCTTGGCAACTTTTTAGACGTCTTGGAAAAATATCAATATATTCAATCGATTCCCATTTGCACCAGCTTGTTTTTTTTTTGCTTCCACCGGTGCAGCTTCCACCTCCCTCCATCAAAATCAAGAATTGATTTACTGATTTGATTATCGCCCCCATTTAAGATTTTTCTGTCTTTAGAAGTCAAACCTTTGTGCAGGTCCAGGCTGAAACAAAACGGTATTTATTTAACATTTTAACTCACCTTTCGTGTTTGTCCCTCCGTCCTCTCAGAGCGGTGTGCACTGTGTTCAGAACATGGCTGACCGAGTTTCCTGAAGACTTTAAGAGTTTGAAGGAGCCCTCTCGTCTGCTGCGTCTGGCTCCCCTGCTCCCTCAGGACTCCTCCTCTGCGGCCGACCTCCGCGCTCGCCTCCTCAGGATCGCAGAGGAGCTCAGCGAGAAAGCCCTGCTCCCCGACACCCACAGAGGTCTGTAATTTAACCGGGATTGGAATGACAACATTAAGGCCTGGATGGATGAGGGTTACATGCAGAAATATACTTGTTCTCACACTTTATCTGCTATGAAATCAAAAACTGGGGGTTCATGTTCAGTCCACTTGTTTATCAAATGGTCTCCAGAGGACGAACCAACTGCTTTCTAACAGCACCAACACCAGGTCAAAGGTTTTCTCTTATCTCGTCAAACACAGACATCCTCCCCACAGACAATTACTCATAATGATGATCGTCATCGTCATTAAGTCGAAAAATGAAACTGCTGCACCCACAGGACGTTTGAGTCACTATGAGTGCTGTTGTCTCTTCAGGAACAATCAATGCTTGGACTTCAGGGTTTCCAATTTATTATTTTACAATGATTTCTAAAAAAAAAAAAAGGGAGAGAAATATACAATATGATGTCAAACAATGTAAATTATAAACTTATTAGAGAGCATACCTTTGCCAAGGACAGACTCTCTGTCTCCCTATCAACCTGCAGCAAATTACAAATAATTATGACCTTTAAAATTAAAGAGATACCCAACAGTTCCTTCAATGAGCAGCACTTTGGTGACTGGGGAGAAAAAACTCCCTCATTAACCGGAAGAAACCTCGAGAACCAGACTCAATGTGGGCGGCCATCTGCCTCCACCAGTTGGGGGGAGCAGAGAAAATGAAGATACCAGTTCCCTCAATATGATAATTTTATTCATCGAGATTCATTTGTTTTTCCTGCAACACCACAGCTTCATGGAAATCTTTTTCATTTGGTTTTTGTGTAATCTTTCAAACAACAGACAGGTGAAACCAGAACTATATACTATATTCAAATATTTTACATTTGACTAAAGTAAAATAAAATTCATCTTGAACATCTAATCTGTTTGCTAACCGACAATCAAACAAGGCAAACTCACATTCTTCATGGGCAAACTCTGAGGGGTGAGGCCTCCACCGTGTGTCAGGCCTGCAGGCCTCTGTTGGGGTGGGGGGGGGGTGTCAGGTGAGCTTACTTCCTGTATAGATTCTGTAGGTGGAGCCTCAGGAAGCAGAAGGTAAGGGAGGGAGGAGCTACAGGAAGAAGGAGGAGATTTTTTTCCACAGGGAGAAAAGATTCTTACAACCTGCAAACTTAAATCCAGACGTACTTTAGAATCTGTGATCAACTGTTTTGCAGATCAGAGAGGTGTCACCGGCCCTCCTCCTGACGCCTCCAAGTTTGAACCCACCAGCATCCTGGGATTTCCTGCACCGCTCATCGCCGAGCAGCTCACCAAGACGGAGACGGTCAGTTCACCTTTCAGCCTGAACACGACACGAAGCAAAAATATTGAGAATTTATGGTAAATTTTGTACAATTCAATAAGTAATATTTTATCTTTTTTTTATGATTCGGTTTATTCTGACAAGATACAGAATACAATGTGTTTGCATCCAAGCGCCTGCACCTGCATTAAAGATAAACTTAATTTATATAGCACCTTTCAAACCAGAGTTACAAGATGCTTTACAAGTTAAAAAGTGAAGGCAAGCAGTTAAAAGCTATTTGACGATCCAACAGTTTTAGAGCACAGATACAGAAAAACTAAAAGAAAAGAGTTAAAACAAGACAAAAAATTGATTTAAGATCGAAACAAGGAGAAAGCAAACCTGTAAAATTGTGTCTGTAAAAGAGGAGAAGCAGTTTGATCTCCTCAAGGCCGTCACTGACGACCTCGCGTGGTGTCGAAAGATCTGAAGTGTACTTGAAAGCCAGTGAGGAGAAGCTAAACTCGGGAGTAATAAGCTCTTTTAGCAGATCGTGAAAAGTCTGGCTGCTGCGTTTTGGCCCGAGCTGTACTTTACTCTGTTTGTCCAGGCAGGTGAAGCGAGAGCTGCGTCTATACAAACAAGAGCAAATGAGAGGATTAATGAAAATCTCCTGGATAAGAACATGCTGATCTTTGAAATGAGCTGAGGTTTTGAGGTTTTTCACATTTCCAACCAGACACACAGAACACAGGTGCTTCTATGTGCAGGTATCGACTGTGTCAGGGCCTCAATATTCAGCTGCAGGAAATATGTAGATGAGTTCCGATATAATCTCAACCTCCCCTTTTCTATCATCTCGTTTTATCACTTCACGCCGTCGGCTGGTTTAACTGGTTTAGAATCATGAAAAAGAACAGAAAGGTGCCACCTGCTGAAACTAAACCTCTGTCAACGGGACATTTATGCAGCGTGACGGCACAGGAAACTTCACATTCTTCATTCAGGGATTTTTTTTTTTGAAAATTGTTTTATATATGTGAATATGCCGTCACTTCCCAGGAGCTGTTTGTCCGTCTGGTGCCGTACCACTGCCTCGGCTCACTGTGGTCGCAGAGGGATAAGAAGGGGAGGGAAGGCGTCTGTTGGTCCGTCCGGGCCACGGTGCGTCAGTTCAACAAGTTGGCCAATGCGGTTTTAGCATCCTGCCTTTGTCCGACGATGCTGCGCAGCCAGCAGAGAGCGCGGCTGCTGGAGAAATGGATCAGCGTGGCAGAGGTGAGTGGAACAAAAACCCCACAAGGTCACAGAAGCGATGCCATAAACATACATTTGTACAGTGTGGGGAATGAAACACAGCGTCAGTCGGGGTTGCAACTCTTCCGAAACGCTCCACTGTGCATTTTCCTACAATAAACCCATTTAATCCCCGAACCATAATCCTCTTCCCGGGTCTCTGACTGTGCACACAGCCTCACAAAGTCACAGCCTGCTCGGCTTCTGCTGCGACTGTACTTGTGATTTCACTTAAATAAAGAGCTGAAAGCAAAACAAATTAATGAAGTTTTGATTTATGCTTCTCTGCTGCACATGAGCGCATCTGGCAGTTTTGATTTTTGAAGATAAAACGAGAAATCGGATGTGCACGCACCGTCTCATACGCCTTAAGGAAAATGTACCCTGCGTGATTGGTACATACCGGTAATGTGCTGAGTCAAAACCATCTGACCTGGAGGCGAACAGCAAAAATGCAAATCTGCTTAAGAAACGACAGCTTTGTACGAGAGGAACCGTGGATTAACCGAGTGTTTTGGTTCCTGTGCACGATAATCAGCTTCTTTTAAAATACTGAGCGGTTTGCAGCAGTGACAGGTTATGCTCCCGTCCTCAGATGCTTGAGTCACTCGAGTGGTTTTTATTCCTTTCTCTCTGTGAACACAGCTTCAGCCGCTAATTCCTTTATGGAGCTGTGTTTGTCATCACATGCACATAAACACTCGCTCACACAGATTCGGTATCCTCTTGGGCGAAGCCAGATATCACTGGTGTGCTGCCAAAGCGCCAGGAACGTCCCCGGGTTTCTTTTGGAAGAAAAGCTCTTTTAGCGGTATACATTATTCAGCTCATGAGGCCGAGGCTGTAATTTAATACTCGGCAGAACTCAACCCCACAGGTGTTCTCACTTACATTGTGGGTATTCATCTGTGTGTGTGTGTATTCAACAGGAGTGCCGAGCCAGAAAGAACTTCTCCTCGCTGTACGCCATCGTGTCCGCTCTGCAGAGTAACCCCATCCACCGGCTGAGGAAGACGTGGCAGGACACCGACAGGTCCGTGACTGAACTACTTTTTACAGGGGAACAGAGATCCAAGGGTTTATTGTCATACGGACAGAAAATAGTTTTGTTTCAAAGCAGCATAAAATGAGTGTCTCTTGAGAAAGACGTCCATAAGGGACACTTGGTGTAAAGACTGGTGATGTCACAGATATACAGTTATATTCTTTTTTATGTTATTGTCGAGATGCAGGTGGGAAATGGCTGAAATGTTCCAAAGTGCAAAACATGTTATAACATCGTAAAAGGAAACTCAGGACACTTTGACCAAACAACTGTCAACCTCATAAAGACGTAAATGTTTCTTTCCTTTAACGTAAATGAGAACCTGTCTCTTCACAACATTAAGCCAAAGGAGACACATTTTGCACTTTTACATGAATGTGCGCTGGCTGTAAATAAACTTTGTCCTTTTACAGGGAGGCGGTGAGGAGATACGAGGAACTGTCAGAAATATTCTCAGAGAAGGACAACTACTCCCAGAGTCGAGAGCTCCTGAAGGAGGTGGGTTGTCGGAAATATAGTCTGTCCACTTTTAGGTACAGAGGTAAAAAGGACATCGGGGTTCTGACCGGTATCACGTTTACTTTACTTTAATTTAACCACTTGTGTTGGTTCATAATGAAAATAACTGTTGGCCTGACGGTTTCTCAGTTAAGGCTGTAAATAAAAATGGACGACATAGCTCTACTTCCTCCGACTGTACCGAACAGAAGCCAGAACATCCTGGACACGCTGGCCACCATCTTGAGCGGGAGACGATGGGGAGACGGAGCCGTGGCATCGAGGTCCTGTCGACCAATTAGTCTCAGTTGTCGATCGTGACATTTCGTCCCCGTTTCACGCAACTGAAGACACGTCCCTAACATCCGCTAACATCATCTGGTGGTAGTCCGTCAGATTTACCTTTAGCCTCGGCGTACCATCGGGTTCGGCCTGGTTCATTGATCACAAGGACAAAACTATCGATGACGCTAACATCCACTGGTGATTGCTAACACCTGCTAACACCTGCTTAACCTAAATTCTTCTAGAAGACCTTCAAACGTACAAAGGGATGTTCTTCTATTTTCTAAAATTCTGCTATCAAGTAAATAATTAAACCCAAACTTGGAAGAGAAATGATCATATTTTTTAGTTTGGTTCATGCCCTATTTGCTAACACGAAGCAGGCGGGGCTCTACGTTTGGAAACAGCCACCAGCAGGAGATGTTTCAGCTTCACTTCAGGGGGAGACGTCATGTCGTCCATCTTTGGATACGGTCCGTTACCGGGTCCAACACTTCTAGGTTACAGCCGTCGATCCTCAAACTTCAGTACGGAAACACAAACTCATCGACTAACATCTAACATCCCGGTGACGAGCGGCTCATGATTTGAAGCGGCAGCGTGAGACGTTCATTAACTTCACACACTGTCAGGCTTCATCCTCTGAAAACAACTTTCACTGTTGGAGGTTTAAGACTTTCTTTAAAGACCGGAAACCAGTTTAATCTGGTTGAGTAGAAATGCCCTTATTCTGTCAACACGTTCCCTTCAGTGTGATGAGCCCGTCTGAAGAAGTGCATTATATTTAGTTTACACTGTCAGTGAGTTGGGGTGGTGGGGGGGGGGTGGATTAGCTGTGTTTTGATTTGCTGTGGAATGGTGCCGCGCGAGCATCAATACCTTTGCATTAGCTGTGATTTCTACACATACGATGCCCCCAAAGGAATTCAACCAAACAGATGCTTTCATTTCCAAAGC